ACACACAGAAGATAGAGCACTCACATAGAGGCTCCACACACAGCAGACAGAGCACTCACAAGAGGCTCCACGCACAGAAGACAGAGCACCCACATAGAAGCTTCACACACAGCAGACAGAGCACTCACATAGAGGCTTCACACACAGCAGACAGAGCACTGACATAGAAGCTTCACACACAGCAGACAGAGCACTCACATAGAGGCTTCACGTACAGCAGACAGAGCACTGATTTAGAAGCTTCACACACATCAGACAGAGCACTCACGTAGAGGCTTCACACACAGCAGACAGAGCAGTGACATAGAAGCTTCACACACAGCAGACAGAGCAGTCACAAAGAAGCTTCACACACAGCAGACAGAGCACTCACATAGAAGCTTCACACACAGCAGACAGAGCACTCACACAGAGGCTTCACACACAGCAGACAGAGAACTCACACAGAGACTTCACACACAACAGACAGAGCACTCACATAGAGACTTCACACACAGCAGACAGAGCACTCACATAGAGACTTCACACACAGCAGACAGAGCACTCACACAGAGATTTCACACACAGCAGACAGAGCACTCACATAGAGACTTCACACACACAGCAGACAGAGCACTCACATAGAGGCTTCACACACACAGCAGACAGAGCACTCACATAGAGACTTCACACACAGCAGACAGAGAACTCACACAGAGACTTCACACACACACAGCAGACAGAGCACTCACATAGAGACTTCACACACACAGCAGACAGAGCACTCACATAGAGGCTTCACACACAGCAGACAGAGCACTCACATAGAGGCTTCACACACAGCAGACAGAGCACTCACATAGAGACTTCACACACAGCAGACAGAGCACTCACATAGAGACTTCACACACAGCAGACAGAGCACTCACATAGAGACTTCACACACAGCAGACAGAGCACTCACATATAGACTTCACACACAGCAGACAGAGCACTCACATAGAGGCTTCACACACAGCAGACAGAGCACTCACATAGAGACTTCACACACAGCAGACAGAGCACTCACATAGAGGCTTCACACACACAGCAGACAGAGCACTCACATAGAGACTTCACACACACAGCAGACAGAGCACTCACATAGAGACTTCACACACAGCAGACAGAGCACTCACATAGAGACTTCACACACACAGCAGACAGAGCACTCACATAGAGACTTCACACACAGCAGACAGAGCACTCACATAGAGACTTCACACACAGCAGACAGAGCACTCACATAGAGGCTTCACACACAGCAGACAGAGCACTCACATAGAGACTTCACAGACAGCAGACAGAGCACTCACATAGAGGCTTCACACACACAGCAGACAGAGCACTCACATAGAGACTTCACACACAGCAGACAGAGCACTCACATAGAGACTTCACACACAGCAGACAGAGCACTCACATAGAGGCTTCACACACAGCAGACAGAGAACTCACACAGAGGCTTCACGCACAGCAGACAGAGCACTCACATAGAGGCTTCACACACAGCAGACAGAGCACTCACATAGAGACTTCACACACAGCAGACAGAGCACTCACATAGAGACTTCACACACGGCAGACAGAGCACTCACATAGAGACTTCACACACAGCAGACAGAGCACTCACATAGAGGCTTCACACACAGTAGACAGAGCACTCACATAGAGACTTCACACACAGCAGACAGAGCACTCACATAGAGGCTTCACACACACAGCAGACAGAGCACTCACATAGAGACTTCACACACAGCAGACAGAGAACTCACACAGAGGCTTCACGCACAGCAGACAGAGCACTCACATAGAGGCTTCACACACAGCAGACAGAGCACTCACATAGAGACTTCACACACAGCAGACAGAGCACTCACATAGAAGCTTCACACACAGCAAACGGAGCACTCACATAGAAGGTTCACACACAGCAGACAGAATACTTATATAGAGGCTTCACGCACAGCAGACAGAACACTCACATAGAGGCTTCACGCACAGCAGACAGAGCACTCACATAGAGGCTTCACGCACAGCAGACAGAGCACTCACATAGAAGCTTCAAGCACAGCAGACAGAGCACTCACATAGAAGCTTCAAGCACAGCAGACAGAGCACTCACATAGAAGCTTCACACACAGCAGACAGAGCACTCACATAGAAGCTTCAAGCACAGCAGACAGAGCACTCACATAGAAGCTTCACACACAGCAGACAGAGCACTCACATAGAAGCTTCAAGCACAGCAGACAGAGCACTCACATAGAAGCTTCAAGCACAGCAGACAGAGCACTCACATAGAAGCTTCACACACAGAAGACAGAGCACTCACATAGAAGCTTCACACACAGCAGACGGAGCACTCACATAGAGGCTTCACACACAGCAGACAGAATACTTATATAGAGGCTTCACGCACAGCAGACAGAACACTCACATAGAGGCTTCACGCACAGCAGACAGAGCACTCACATAGAGGCTTCACGCACAGCAGACAGAGCACTCACATAGAAGCTTCAAGCACAGCAGACAGAGCACTCACATAGAAGCTTCAAGCACAGCAGACAGAGCACTCACATAGAGGCTTCACCACAGTTTCCAGCAGCGGGCGCAGTGTCCCAATACTAATGCTACCAGTGGTAGTCTGGTTATAGGATGTGTTTTTTCTCTCAGCACTTGGTATCAGATACTCTGGTCGCTCTCAGTTGCTTTTTTCTTTCTAGACCGTGATGATCTATCTGTTAGCTCGTCCGTGTTGTTCACGTGTTACTAAAGGGCATTGACTACACCCGCCTTCTCATGCATGATTTCACCACCTAGGGGTACACAACCATTCAGGTTTTCTGAGCATTCATTTTCCAACACACCGGCACTCTTTTAGGAAAACGTTCAAAGAACGCCGACCACTCTAGACCTCAGACGCGCAGCATATCCCTGGAATCCAGCATGTCCCTAGCATGTCGCATGTCCCTGGCCTGTAGCATGTCCCTAGCCTGTAGCATGTCCCTAGCCTGCAACATGTCCCTAGCCTGTAGCATGTCCCTAGCATGTCGCATGTCCCTAGCCTGCAGCATGTCCCTAGCCTTTAGCATGTCCCCAGCCAGTCGCATGTCCCTAGCCTGTAGCATGTCCCTAGCCTGTCGCATGTCCCTAGCCTGTAGCATGTCCCTAGCCTGTAGCATGTCCCTAGCCTGTAGCATGTCCCTAGCCTGTAGCATGTCTCTAGCCTGTAGCATGACCATAGTATGTCGCATGTCCCTAGCCTGTAGCATGTCCTTCGTATGTAGCATGTCCCTAGCCTGTAGCATGTCCCTCGTATGTAGCATGTCCCTAGCCTGTCGCATGTCCTTCGTATGTAGCATGTCCCTAGCCTGTAGCATGTCCCTCGTATGTAGCATGTCCCTAGCCTGTAGCATATCCCTCGTATGTAGCATGTCCCTCGTATGTAGCATGTCCCTAGCCTGTAGCATGTCCTTCGTATGTAGCATGTCCCTAGCCTGTCGCATGTCCCTAGCCTGTAGCATGTCCCTAGCCTGTAGCATGTCCCTAGCCTGTAGCATGTCCCTAGCCTGTAGCATGTCCCTCGTATGTAGCATGTCCCTAGCCTGCAGCATGTCCTTCGCATGTAGCATGACAATAGCCTGTAGCATGTCCCTAGCCTGTAGCATGTCCCTTGTGTGTAGCATGTCCCTAGCCTGCAGAATGTCCCTCGTATGCAGCATGTCCCTCCTATGTAGCATGTCCCTCGAATGTAGCATGTCCCTAGCCTGTAGCATGTCCCTAGCCTGTAGCATGTCCCTAGCCTGCAGCATGTCCCTTGTATGTAGCATGTCCCTAGCCTGCAGCATGTCCCTCGTATGTAGCATGTCCCTAGCCTGCAGCATGTCCCTCGTATGTAGCATGTCCCTAGCCTGCAGCATGTCCCTAGCCTGCAGCATGTCCCTAGGATGCAGCATGTTCCTCGTATGTAGCATATCCCTAGCCTGTAGCATGTCCCTAGCCTGTAGCATGTCCCTAGCCTGCAGCATGTCCCTCGTATGTAGCATGTCCCTAGCCTTCAGCATGTCCCTCGTATGTAGCATGTCCCTAGCCTGCAGCATGTCCCTCGTATGTAGCATGTCCCTAGCCTGTAGCATGTCCCTCGTATGTAGCATGTCCCTAGCCTGTAGCATGTCCCTCGTATGTAGCATGTCCCTACCCTGTAGCGTGTCCCTCGTATGTAGCTTGTCACTAGCCTTCAGCATGTCCCTCGTATGTAGCATGTCCCTAGCCTGCAGCATGTCCCTCGTATGTAGCATGTCCCTTGCCTGTAGCATGTCCCTCGTATGTAGCATGTCCCTAGCCTGTAGCATGTCCCTCGTATGTAGCATGTCCCTACTCTGTAGCGTGTCCCTCGTATGTAGCATGTCCCTAGCCTGCAGCATGTCCCTAGCCTGCAGCATGTCCCTAGCCTGCAGCATGTCCCTAGCATGTAGCATGTCCCTAACCTGCAGCATGTCCCTAGCCTGTAGCATGTCCCTCGTATGTAGCATGTCCCTAGCCTGTCGCATGTCCTTCGTATGTAGCATGTCCCTAGCCTGTAGCATGTCCCTCGTATGTAGCATGTCCCTAGCCTGTAGCATGTCCCTCGTATGTAGCATGTCCCTCGTATGTAGCATGTCCCTAGCCTGTAGCATGTCCTTCGTATGTAGCATGTCCCTAGCCTGTCGCATGTCCCTAGCCTGTAGCATGTCCCTAGCCTGTAGCATGTCCCTAGCCTGTAGCATTTCCCTAGCCTGTAGCATGTCCCTCGTATGTAGCATGTCCCTAGCCTGTAGCATGTCCCTAGCCTGTAGCATGTCCCTCGTATGTAGCATGTCCCTAGCCTGCAGCATGTCCCTAGCCTGCAGCATGTCCCTAGCCTGAAGCATGTCCCTAGCCTGCAGCATGTCCCTAGCCTGTAGCATGTCCCTAGCCTGTAGCATGTCCCTAGCCTGTAGCATGTTCCTAGCCTGCAGCATGTCCCTAGCCTGTAGCATGTCCCTCGTATGTAGCATGTCCCTAGCCTGTAGCATGTCCCTAGCCTGTAGCATGTCCCTAGCCTGTAGCATGTCCCTCGTATGTAGCATGTCCCTAGCCTGTAGCATGTCCCTCGTATGTAGCATGTCCCTAGTCTGTAGCATGTCCCTAGCCTGTAGCATGTCCCTCGTATGTAGCATGTCCCTCGTATGTAGCTTGTCCCTAGCCTGTAGCATGTCCCTCGTATGTAGCTTGTCCCTAGCCTGTAGCATGTCCCTCGTATGTAGCATGTCCATAGCCTGTAGCATGTCCCTCGTATGTAGCATGTCCCTCGTATGTAGCTTGTCCCTAGCCTGTAGCATGTCCCTCGTATGTAGCTTGTCCCTAGCCTGTAGCATGTCCCTAGCCTGTAGCATGTCCCTCGTATGTAGCATGTCCCTAGCCTGTAGCATGTCCCTAGCCTGTAGCATTTCCCTAGCCTGTAGCATGTCCCTCGTATGTAGCATGTCCCTAGCCTGTAGCATGTCCCTCGTATGTAGCATGTCCCTAGCCTGTAGCATGTCCCTAGCCTGTAGCATGTCCCTCGTATGTAGCATGTCCCTCGTATGTAGCTTGTCCCTAGCCTGTAGCATGTCCCTCGTATGTAGCATGTCCCTCGTATGTAGCATGTCCCTCGTATGTAGCATGTCCCTCGTATGTAGCATGTCCCTCGTATGTAGCTTGTCCCTAGCCTGTAGCATGTCCCTCGTATGTAGCTTGTCCCTAGCCTGTAGCATGTCCCTCGTATGTAGCATGTCCCTAGCCTGTAGCATGTCCCTCGTATGTAGCATGTCCCTCGTATGTAGCTTGTCCCTAGCCTGTAGCATGTCCCTCGTATGTAGCTTGTCCCTAGCCTGTAGCATGTCCCTAGCCTGTAGCATGTCCCTAGCCTGTAGCATGTCCCTCGTATGTAGCATGTCCCTCGTATGTAGCTTGTCCCTAGCCTGTAGCATGTCCCTCGTATGTAGCTTGTCCCTAGCCTGTAGCATGTCCCTAGCCTGTAGCATGTCCCTCGTATGTAGCTTGTCCCTAGCCTGTAGCTTGTCCCTAGCCTGTAGCATGTCCCTCGTATGTAGCATGTCCCTAGCCTGCAGCATGTCCCTAGCCTGCAGCATGTCCCTAGCCTGAAGCATGTCCCTAGCCTGCAGCATGTCCCTAGCCTGTAGCATGTCCCTAGCCTGTAGCATGTCCCTAGCCTGTAGCATGTTCCTAGCCTGCAGCATGTCCCTCGTATGTAGCTTGTCCCTAGCCTGTAGCATGTCCCTCGTATGTAGCATGTCCCTCGTATGTAGCATGTCCCTCGTATGTAGCTTGTCCCTAGCCTGTAGCATGTCCCTCGTATGTAGCTTGTCCCTAGCCTGTAGCATGTCCCTCGTATGTAGCATGTCCCTCGTATGTAGCATGTCCCTCGTATGTAGCTTGTCCCTAGCCTGTAGCATGTCCCTCGTATGTAGCTTGTCCCTAGCCTGTAGCATGTCCCTCGTATGTAGCTTGTCCCTAGCCTGTAGCATGTCCCTCGTATGTAGCTTGTCCCTAGCCTGTAGCATGTCCCTCGTATGTAGCATGTCCCTCGTATGTAGCATGTCCCTCGTATGTAGCATGTCCCTCGTATGTAGCTTGTCCCTAGCCTGTAGCATGTCCCTCGTATGTAGCATGTCCCTCGTATGTAGCATGTCCCTCGTATGTAGCATGTCCCTAGCCTGTAGAATGTCCCTCGTATGTAGCATGTCCCTCGTATGTAGCATGTCCCTCGTATGTAGCATGTCCCTCGTATGTAGCATGTCCCTCGTATGTAGCATGTCCCTCGTATGTAGCATGTCCCTAGCCTGTAGCATGTCCCTCGTATGTAGCTTGTCCCTAGCCTGTAGCATGTCCCTTGTATGTAGCTTGTCCCTAGCCTGTAGCATGTCCCTAGCCTGTAGCATGTCCCTCGTATGTAGCTTGTCCCTAGCCTGTAGCATGTCCCTAGCCTGTAGCATGTCCCTCGTATGTAGCATGTCCCTAGCCTGTAGCATGTCCCTCGTATGTAGCTTGTCCCTAGCCTGTAGCATGTCCCTAGCCTGTAGCATGTCCCTCGTATGTAGCTTGTCCCTAGCCTGTAGCATGTCCCTCGTATGTAGCATGTCCCTAGCCCGTAGCATGTCCCTCGTATGTAGCTTGTCCCTAGCCTGTAGCATGTCCCTTGTATGTAGCTTGTCCCTAGCCTGTAGCATGTCCCTAGCCTGTAGCATGTCCCTCGTATGTAGCTTGTCCCTAGCCTGTAGCATGTCCCTAGCCTGTAGCATGTCCCTCGTATGTAGCTTGTCCCTAGCCTGTAGCATGTCCCTTGTATGTAGCATGTCCCTAGCCTGCAGCATGTCCCTAGCCTGTAGCATGTCCCTCGTATGTAGCTTGTCCCTAGCCTGTAGCATGTCCCTAGCCTGTAGCATGTCCCTCGTATGTAGCATGTCCCTCGTATGTAGCTTGTCCCTAGCCTGTAGCATGTCCCTAGCCTGTAGCATGTCCCTCGTATGTAGCATGTCCCTAGCCTGTAGCATGTCCCTCGTATGTAGCATGTCCCTTGCCTGTAGCATGCTTGTCTCAACTTACTCTAATAAAAGACACTGAAACTGACCTTACAATGCTCGCATATACTAGTATAATCCCAAAATGCCCATTTCTTGGACAAAACAAAATGGCACAGCTTGTCAGAGGCGTCTATTCCACATGATATGCATTATGAGAAACTAGTCATCCATGGGGGGGGGGGGCGGAGAGGGGCGGGCAACGTGAAGAAAAATGTGTGCAAGCTAAACACAGAAATGTTGTAGACGTGCACTGTAGGCAATCATCCTGAACTGGGCGAGAGAAGACCACTTCAGCTGACAGAACCCACCGACATGAACGCCGGTCTGGGCGGTTATTGGTTAGGCCAACTTGTATCAGCCACCTCCGGCAGCTCGCCCGATGTCCTGCCTACCTTATTCGTCCCTGACTTTCATCTAAGGTCATTTTTTATCTGGAATGCTCTGCTGGGTCTGTTGTACAGACACTCTAATTATGTCATCAATGTTGTATTAACGTGTGCTAATTTGAGGCTGCTGCTTCTTCTTCTTCTTCTTCTTCTTCTTCTTCTTCTTCTTCTTCTTCTTCTTCTTCTTCTTCTTCTTCTTCTTATCCACCTCCTCCTTCTTCTTCTTCGCCCATTAAAGGGCAGTTGTCATATTGTTTTGTGGTTTATAGCTAGGCTGCGATATATGTCCCTGAACATCCTAAGGATGAGAGTCTGTAAAATGAACATCTCAAAGATTAGAGTCTGTAGGATGAACATCTCAAAGATTAGAGTCTGTAGGATGAACATCTCAAAGATTAGAGTCTGTAGGATGAACATCTCAAAGATTAGAGTCTGTAGGATGAACATCTCAAAGATTAGAGTCTGTAGGATGAACATCTCAAAGATTAGAGTCTGTAGGATGAACATCTCAAAGATTAGAGTCTGTAGGATGAACATCTCAAAGATCAGAGTCCAAAGGATGACCCACTTGAACTATGTACACTCATTCTGTTTCTATGTTTAAATGTGGATATCATGAATGGGTCAAGTAGAAAGCAACTGATGTCACCGGTGGTACAGCATTCAAAGAAACAAGTGAAATATAAAACAAAATACATTAAAAAAAATCCTGTTTGCATGTAATTGTTTATATGCTTCCTATTATTGTAAGTAAATTTTCATAGTTATTGGGAGCCGTCGGGGTGTAGTGGCTAGATGCTCAGCTGGGTTCAAATCCGAACGGAGCTGGATATTTTTGTTTCCAACTGACCTTGGCTCCCAGGTCGACTCAGCCCTGAGAAGTAAAGGCGGCCGGCATGACCACGCCACCCGCCGACAGCTGATTATTCTATACAATATCTAGCCCTATATGCCCATGTCGTCTGATGGCGTTGTACGGTGTCGTTTTCTTTTACTTTAATTTTAATTTACCATCATGCACATTATTATTATTATTATTATCATCATCATCATCATCATCATAATGTAGTCATGTCCAGCCTCAACCTTCTGTCTCGTGTACTCTTAATCAGCTATCAAACAGGATGTCAAACTGTCCGTACTAGGATGTCAAACTGTCCATGCTAGGATGTCAAACTGTCCATACTAGGATGTCAAACTGTCCGTACTAGGATGTCAAACTGTCCATGCTAGGATGTCAAACTGTCCATGCTAGGATGTCAAACTGTCAATGCTAGGATGTCAAACTGTCCATGCTAGGATGTCAAACTGTCCATACTAGGATGTCAAACTGTCCATACTAGGATGTCAAACTGTCCACACTAGGATGTCAAACTGTCTATGCTAGGATGTCAAACTGTCCGTACTAGGATGTCAAACTGTCCGTACTAGGATGTCAAACTGTCCATACAAGGATGTCAAACTGTCCATACTAGGATGTCAAACTGTCCATACTAGGATGTCAAACTGTCCGTACTGGGATGTCAAACTGTCCATGCTAGGATGTCAAACTGTCCGTACTAGGATGTCAAACTGTCCGTACTAGGATGTCAAACTGTCCATGCTAGGATGTCAAACTGTCCGTACTGGGATGTCAAACTGTCCGTACTGGGATGTCAAACTGTCCGTACTGGGATGTCAAACTGTCCGTACTAGGATGTCAAACTGTCCATACTAGGATGTCAAACTGTCCATACTAGGATGTCAAACTGTCCGTACTGGGATGTCAAACTGTCCATGCTAGGATGTCAAACTGTTCGTACTAGGATGTCAAACTGTCCGTACTAGGTTGTCAAACTAGACCAGTCTTCTTTCTCTGGGGAGACAAACGTGGATCTAACCTTTCGGTGGTTTCTGCTACACGGCAGACAGGAGAAGAATCTCATCTGTTGTCTTGAAATGCACTGACATGTCCAGCGTTCTCTGTATTCTGTCTTCATCCACGTCCCTGTATGAGATATTCCACGTCCCTGTATGAGATATTCCACGTCCCTTTATGAGATATTCCACGTCCCTGTATGAGATATTCCACGTCTCTGTATGAGATATTCCACGCCGTCATCCTAATGCTGTCTTCATCCATGTCTCTGTATGAGATATTCCACGTCCCTGTATGAGATATTCCACGCCGTCACCCTAATGCTGTCTTCATCCACGTCTCTGTATGAGATATTCCACGCCGTCACCCTAATGCTGTCTTCATCCACGTCTCTGTATGAGATATTCCACGTCGTCACCCTAATGCTGTCTTCATCCACGTCCCTGTATGAGATATTCCACGCCGTCACCCTAATGCTGTCTTCATCCACGTCTCTGTATGAGATATTCCACGCCGTCACCCTAATGCTGTCTTCATCCACGTCTCTGTATGAGATATTCCACGCCGTCACCCTAATGCTGTCTTCATCCATGTCCCTGTATGAGATATTCCACGCCGTCACCCTAATGCTGTCTTCATCCACGTCTCTGTATGAGATATTCCACGCCGTCACCCTAATGCTGTCTTCATCCACGTCTCTGTATGGGATATTCCACGCCGTCACCCTAATGCTGTCTTCATCCACGTCTCTGTATGAGATATTCCACGTCTCTGTATGAGATATTCCACGCCGTCACCCTAATGCTGTCTTCATCCACGTCTCTGTATGAGATATTCCACGTCTCTGTATGAGATATTCCACGCCGTCACCCTAATGCTGTCTTCATCCACGTCTCTGTATGAGATATTCCACGCCGTCACCCTAATGCTGTCTTCATCCACGTCTCTGTATGAGATATTCCACGCCGTCACCCTAATGCTGTCTTCATCCACGTCTCTGTTTGAGATATTCCACGCCGTCACCCTAATGCTGTCTTCATCCACGTCTCTGTATGAGATATTCCACGCCGTCATCCTAATGCTGTCTTCATCCACGTCTCTGTATGAGATATTCCACGTCGTCATCCTAATGCTGTCTTCATCCACGTCTCTGTATGAGATATTCCACGCCGTCATCCTAATGCTGTCTTCATCCACGTCCCTGTATGAGATATTCCACGCCGTCACCCTAATGCTGTCTTCATCCACGTCTCTGTATGAGATATTCCACGCCGTCATCCTAATTCTGTCTTCATCCACGTCTCTGTATGAGATATT